GTCGCTAGCTGCCACACTGCTTGATATAATCAGAGAAATATGTGCAGCTTCGCTTCCATCGATCCTTTTATAATCGTGACTTTCCTAGGTTCGCTACCGAAACCTTTGTGGTAAATGCGAGAGTCCACACTTCTATAAACGTCTGGTAGTTGAAATGAGTATATACTTCCAGTACTTCAGGTCTCCGAGCACATGTTGAGAATGCCACAACCTCTAGATATGCGAACTCCTCAACCAATTTATAGAACGTAGCGAAAGCTATCATGATAGCAATGCCGAGCGAGCCAACGGCCATTTTGCCACGGCTGGCGACAGATGCTCCAGCATGGTCCAGGGCTCATCTTCTCCTCTCGTTCGGTCAGAGTGCGTGTCGCATGTGGACAAGTTTGGTTCCGCCTACTCGTTCCGATCTCAAGGATTTTGCGGGTCGGTAGTGTGAAGGGTTTCACGGGGCACATTTTGTGTCCTTCTAGCCATGGCCGGATGTTGAAGGGCTAGCGGCCGAGTGGGATGCCATCGAAAGCTTACGTGATGATCTGCGAAAGGGCAAGGCTCTGATCGCAGAGGTATCGGAAAAGCAGGTGGACATTAATATGCCATCGAAGCACAACCGTTTACTTTTGCCGATACTCAAACGTATGCGGGACGCCGGCAAGAAACTACGAAGTGTCGAGGGGCTTCGATGCGAGGTTCGACTGATTATGCAGAAGAACAAGAGAGACCCAACGGAGGATGATATTCAGAAGTACGCGTGGCTGCTCCGTAAGAACTGCGGATTCATCAAGATGAAATGTCGACGTCAAGAAGTATCGAATGCTGCCTGTCTTAAGTTCTCACAAACTCACAATGTCAGATTATATAGCGGCATACATGCTACATCTAATTCGGTTTTAATACAACAAATTTCCTTGCTCTCCTGAATCTAGATCAAGGCTACGGACTTCCAGGCCTTGTGCCTGGCCTTGGATCCCGACTTGCAGGAGTTGTGGGGGTTTGGGGGGGGGGGGGTGTTCAGTGAACATGCACAGTCTATAGGGTACCATGCTATGTATATGGCAGATCTCCCTGTTTGCTACTTGCGGAGGGCATTGTGGGCCAGATCAACGAGTCCCTTGCGAGACGACGTGCCGCGAAAGTGGGTTGTTGCGAGGATGGGGCATGATGGGGCTGTCATTTCACCACATATATTTTCGATCCATGTATATATATCTATATTGGGCCCGCATAAGGTTTCTTTCCGCATCGAAGGACTCCCAAGTCGAGAGCGATGAGGATGCCTACGACGACGATGGCAGCGAGATCGATGATTGCAGTGACCTTGCCAGCCATCTGAGTGACTTCAAGGCTGCGTGTGAGGACTCAGACGCCGGGACTGAGCATTCGGATGGCTACGGGGAGCCCGGTGAGAACAGGAACCTCCAGCAGGTCGTGGAAGCGCCGGTCGAGAGCAGTGGGCCGGCAGTCGTGGAAGTGCCGGAAGACGAGAGCAATGGGCCGGATGCAGTCGTGGAAGTGCCAAAGGAGAACAGTGGGCCGTGTGCAGTCGTGGAAGTGCCGAAGGAGAACACGGGGCCGTGTGCAGTCGTGCAAGTGCCGAAGGAGAACAGGGGGCCGTGTGCAGTCGTGCAAGTGCCGGAGGAGAACACGGGGCCGGGTGCAGACGTGGACAAGCCTTGTGGTCCAGTCGTTAAGACGACCTTTGTCCCTGGAGTGGAGCCGGATGCACGTGACAATCTTAGTCCAGTTTCCTGTATATATATCTGAGGTTCGCTTATGGTAGAGTTATATAAAGTCGATTATTTGATTGGGCAATCGGGGTCGAGGCGAGCAGGTTTTGAAAGCCGACCGCATCAAGCAGATCAAGGAGCGATTGGCGATGTTTCTTCGTAGATTAAAATTCGAGAATAAAGTCTGTGGGTATTTTATATGTCTGTCAATTCGTACTTTCTTTTGCATGTGCATAAAGCTGATATCCAGGTTGCGTGCAAAGCGGGAGAAAATCACCAGTCCTGCGGTTCAGCCGACTGTGGCGGCTCCTACTGCTGTGGTACCGACAGGCTGGACCGATGCAATCACATAATATATATGTGTGTTTCTTCCGTTGTACAAATGAGGTAGATTTTCATAAGATGGAGAGAGAGGGAAAATAAAGAGAGATATAGAGAGCCGAGGAAGTAGGTGATGAAGCCGGATTTTGGCCGGAGGTTCAATGGATATCGTTGATACGCTGCCTTACGACATGGAGTCTGTTGAGATGCCGCCTGAGCAGACAAGTGATGGCAGTCCGAGCCGTACTGTTGAGGATCGCAGATTGGAGTACCAGGGCAAGGGCCAGGTCACGAAGCCGTTGCCTGGCAAGGTCCCTTCGCCGCCTTCACCTGACGTCCCCGACAAGAAAGATGAGGGCTCTACGCCCGAGCCTTTTACCCCTGACCAGGAGCTTTGCTTAGAAGACAACAATCAGTTGTTAACGGATGGATGTGTATCGATTCTCGATGTGTTTATATCTTGTTTATCTTGCTCATGATCATTAGTCGTTCCGTGCAGGAGCCTTCGAAGCGGCCTGTCGACAGGGTCGATCAGCTGAAGCTGAAGCAGAGCAAGAAGGACGCCGACGGTCGCGGGAATCGTGGCCGCGGGGGCGGCCGTGGACGTGGCCGTGGGGGCGGTCGCTCATCCGCTGCCGCGGGCGCTGCGGACGAGCACGAGTACACGACCGAGGAATGGTTGGTCTGGTACCAGGAACCAGGCGATTATTGGTACGAGACACCCAAGAAGGTATTGAGGACCGAGCCCACGAAGGAACCAGAAAGCACCATGAAGGCCCCAAACAGCAAAAAGCCGAAGCAGCCGAAGAGCGACACGGAGCCGACGATCGGCGAAAAGCCCGAGGAGCCGAAGAGCGGCAAACAGCCGAAGGAGCCAAAGAACGGCAAAAAGGCGAAGGAGCCGAGTGCCAAGGCCAAGGCCAAGGCAAAAGCAAAGGCAAAGGGGCGTGCTTCCAAGGCTGGGAAATCCACGGATGACGTGCCGGAGGAGAAGCCCGTAGCCAAGCGCAAGAGGGTGCCCGATTGTGCTGGTACCAGCTTTTTCCCGAACAAGAGGGCTGAAGCGGCCAATGGTGTCGGAACTTTCGCCAGACGCTACAGGCCGGCCACGCCCTTCAAGGCGCAGCGATGGGAGGCAATCAGGAATTGCTTCCGGACGCAGGTGATGCCCAAGATTTCGGGTAGCCGCACCCTTTACGAGGACACAGGGCAACATCGGGTTTGTTCTCCATCAGATATTGCGCAGGGGTTCTTTTCTAATTAGGTTGGGTTCATCCTATATACTCAGTCACTTTCTATTAGTTTTCGTCCCGGCATATATATATATATATATAGCTTCACTATTTACCCGCAGGACCCCTTTTGGATGTATTGTATGAAGATGATGGAAGAGATGAAGACGAAGATCACGGAGGACAATGTGGCCAGCTGTGTGGATAAGTGCTGCAAAAAGTATATCAAGCAGGTCCTAAACCAGGAGTGAGCTTGCTGTATTTCGGCAGCTTCGCACACCCCTGTTCTTGGATGGCAGATTAGGACTCACTGCTATTGTGCGCGAGCTTTTGAAGCGTATAGGTGTGCCGATTGTGGATGGGATGCAAGTTGATGACACTCAGCTTGCGGGGTGACAACGACACCCCGGCGCAGCATGGCTTGTGCTTAGAGGAGTGGTGCAGTCTTAGCTTCGAGCAATGCTACAAAGAGAAGAAGCCCTCAATCATACCAACCTGTTCTTAGTTTTGATTCTAAAACCCTGCCAATATAGTAGTTATATATGCTTGAGGGGTAATGTCAATTCTAAGTTATCTAATTCTAGAACATATACCTTCTCAAACCTTCTATATAGAGACCCTATATAGACACCCGAACCATCTGGGATGCATTGCTCGGGCTACTGTCCAACGAAGCCTGCACTTAGTTTCGCAGCTTTGAAGGAGCTGAAACGGGTTCTATTTCTTTATACATCCTACATAATGCACACTTGGCTTCAGAATGCATCCTTCACGAGATGATATGTATGGCCTTATCGTGGTTCGCGGTTTCCACAATGAGCTCTGGCTGCTTAGATCGACAGAAAAGACTGTCATTCGTAGCCTCACGGCTCTTCGTCCAGATTGGGGCAACCAAGAAAAAATCGGAGAGCCGACTATCGCTGTTGCTTCACGACGTATCTGACTGTAGAGAAATGCAACCCGGCAAGCCTTGAATATAGCTGCACTGCACACACGACCTTTCTAAGCTCTCCTCGATCCACCCTCCTGTGCCCAGGCCAAAGCGAAATCCAGATCCACGCGCGGCAACAAATGGAAGGTGAGGCTGGATCTCCTTGCCAAGAAACGTATCACCGGCCACGTGTTATTGCTCTATATTGCTTGTAGCAAGGACATGCTCATGTGAGAAGTCAGCAGTTTAATTTTCCAATCCATGAGCCCTCCCTCGGACGACATATGGATCAAGGTTGAGATCTTCAGCTATATAGCTTTGCTTGGGGTTACAGTGCTTTAATTGTTGGCAGGGCTTTCTTAAAGTTTGTACAAGAAGGGTACTGTGGCTGTTGGGTTGTTCGGGTTAATCAAGTGGCTTTCAGCCCAGCTCTGTTGCTGCTTTCGCTGCAATGGTAAACCTGGACCGACTCTTGTATGTACTGAAGTGCCTCGACGTTCCGAAGGAGCCTCGGCTTTTGCCCACTATATATATATATATATACACGTACTGCACTTCGTGTGACCCGGACATAGACCCAAAGCCCTTACATTAAGCGTTCCGTGGCTCGGGCCCAGGAGTTTGTTCTGTGCCTGCTGCTCCTGCTTTTCAGCTACACGGAAGATGAATTGGCCCAGGCTGGGCACAGGTTTCTGCAGAGCCATGTAACCCCGCAGTTTTGCAGCTGCAATCTCCCAGGATTATGATTGCTTGGAGTTTTATGCTGGTCGTGCCCGAACAACCGCTGCTATGAGAAAGAAGTCCTTCAAAGCCGCACGGTTTGACAAGAAGTACAATAAGCCCGACCTACGACACCACTCAAACTTCATGGATCTGACCCATGCCTCAGGTTTCCTGCACCTTGGTTAAATATAGGGAGGTTGTGTTCTATACCCACATCAACAACCTCATCCACCTCTGCCCTCCTCAGGCTCGCCTGCTACTTCATCCTCCGTGGCCGCCCTGAAAATTTCTTTGTAATGTTCGCGGTGATGTGCTCTTCGTTCTGCAAGATGAACAGTGGTACTTCCAAGAGAAGCAAGTGCAATAGCATTGGTTTCGATGCTTTTCCATCCGTCCAAGCAAGCAACATGTTGCTCGAGAGGCTAGGTGTGGCTACATGATTCGTCTTAAGCACCCAGGAAAAGAACCCTACACCCCCTACGTCCCTCAGCCCCCTAAGCCCCCTAAGCCCCAAACCTGCAAACTTCGAAACACAAGCCCTTTGCAGGTCTGTCCTCTTGATCTACTTGGTCACTGGACTTGGAGGCACCTGGTTCGTGGAGCAGCCAAACCAATCGGTTCTCGAATATTACCCGACTTTCCGCAAGATGCTTATGGATCTCTTCAATGTTCGGGACGAGATGCTGCAACTTGATTTCTTGAAATTGGGTTAAATACGCTGAGGGTCATATAGGAAGCGGTGCCGGGTTGCAAATGTCATGGAGTATATAGGAGCTTTGCTGTGTGCTTGTAGATTAAGGTATACGACACCAAATGGTGGATGTGTCACTACGGATCGGCGAGCCCCAAGAGACACTATGCCTATGCGAACACCGAGAAAATATACATGCTGAACCAAGGGAAGCTCTACATGAAAGTGTGGTCCAGGTCTCAACAAACAAAATCGAAAACAACATCTCGAAAGCGAGATGCGCAGGGAAAGGAATGCTACCAAGGCACGCGGGAGTTACGTGCCACGGAGTGCCCCGGTTAGTATTGTTAAATTCTTAGATCGTAGCATTAACTTAGTCTGGGCATTTGTTTCTCTGGTTTAAGGCTTAAGCCATGGTGGGCTTTACAATAATGTGTTTTCTATATATGCTTCTTCTATGTAAAGCTAAGTCGTCGATGTTTGGCAATCTACAGTTGTTTTATTTATGTCTTGCCATTACAAGATTTAAGTAGAAGCTTCCGAAAACAGGTATCATAGGTCTATAAGTCTATATAGATACGTGGGTGGGCTAGTAGGTGTTGTCGGTCTTCTTCGGAATGAGGGAAGGGTAGTTTTATGGTTCGGTTCGAAGGGAGGCAGGTTGCGCACGAATATTTAAAGTGCAGGCCAGACATGATAAGTGGGAACCAACCATGCACCTAATCCCTCGACCCTCATAGACCCCAGGCCTCTGTGAGGATCAAATTAAGCCATATACAACTCATTGCTCCCAAGCTTCTTCGACCTGTCGATGTAGAATCCCCCAAACCAAACCTAAAGCACCCATCCTTCTCCCAAACGATTTGATTGCGGGCCCCAAACAGTTCAAAAGGTGTTTTGATAGTGCAATTATAGAACTCATATATATTTTTATGTAACACATAAAACTAGGACATCTAAAACTCCAAGCCCGACTGAAGCAATTTGTGGTATGTTTCGGAGATCAGACAGCCTCGGGTCCATAGACTGGTTCTATAGTCCCGCGGGTGCAGGGCTACTTAGGTGGGTGGGTGCAGGGTTATATTCTCATGTTCCGAAGACACACCCACTTCCCCAAAAGAACAGCCACGACCTGAAGCATGTGTGTCTCTTCGATTTAATCAACGCAGACTGCTTCTGAGAACCTTTAGGCTAAGGGGCAAAGTAAGTAGATGCATAGCAAGAATTGAATTACTGTTCCGACACAGGTACGACCGTCCTAGCACCAAACTTTGCCTATCCGTCCATGCACTACATGCAATGCACAATAGCCAGGCAGAGGGCTATATAGTCGTTCAGGATGTATTTACTTAGGTGTTGTATACAGGTACATATATGCACACTGTATAGGACATATGTAGAAACACACGGATCTAACGAGATATTTGATATATTAATTTTCTTGCTTCCTATATTTATGTATATATATATAGACCCTAAAACCCTAAAGCCCTAAACCCCCAACCCTTAATCCCAACGAAGCAATAACCTGCCCAAGCCGAGGGAGTATCCTCCCCGCTTCGCCGCGTACTTGGCCCACCACTGCGATCTCCTCAAGGCTACGGCAGAAGGGAAACCGGAGGTGCCTGATGTAGTACCATGCGGTCGAACGACTTTTGCTGCGATGCAGTACGGTAGCCAGGGGGAGTTTTGGTCTTTCGCGGACCTAGAGGCCGTTTTTGTTTACTTGAGGGGTGCCAAAAGGCTGCAAGTTCCTCAAGAGTGGAAGGAATTTATCCCGAATACCTTCCCTGGGGCTGCTTAGCTGATTGTGCCTGGGGTCTATAGAGCAGGTTTATGGGTACCTAGAAGGCCACGACCTCAGTCTTGAACCCCGCAAACCCGAAAGCCTTCAAAATGCTACGGCCATCGGCACAATGCAGCTAGCTGCTGGTCTCGAAGTCATGAATTGTGCTTCACAAGAGGCTTCTTAAGATGTTTTTGTTGTTGTCTTCAAAGATTTAGGAGCTTTTAGTGCTTTTCGATAGGTTTTGAACTGGTTTGATACTAGGCAGCCCAAGCTAACCCGTATATAACCCGTATTTACCCCGTATAAAACCCGTATCCTACCCGTATATAACCCGTATATGTGTATAATACATTTACAACCTACTTTTCCCAACCCGTATTTAAAGCGTATTTAACCCATATTTAAAGCGTATAAACCCGTATTTAAAATATGGGTTTTTTACTTCCCCAGGTAGCTGCTATAATCGTGCCCCGAAGCACTTTTGAAAGCCTCAGATACCGAACAAATTCGTTGCAATGGTGTGTGAATACACACAGGACGTTCGAGCCCGGGCGAAAACCCAGTGTTGCCGGCCGGTGCAAGTGTTGATGTTGTGACGAACATGCTCGGTTGAGTGCTGCTGACTTGAAAGAGCATGAGCATGTTAGTCGCGGGTCCTCGAGCAGCTATAGCAGCGTGTCTTGTCCTCCTGCAAGGAGGATGGCCAGGATGGCTGTAGCTTCCAAGCAATGGAGCACCACGACTTTAGATGCAGGGATAGCTTCTGCGAGTACGGAAGCAGAGCTGGGGGTGCTGGAGGACGAGGAGGCACGCCTTCAACGAGAGCTCGAGGACACGTTGCAGCGCACGTGCTTCTATCTAGTTGTGGTATATATAGCCTTATACACAGCATCAAACTTGCAATGGAACGACAGGAGCTGGAGGCTGCTGGGTCGAACCCCGACCATGCCGCTGCCACTTGGTGTGAATGCTGCTATATAGAGTCTGAGATTTGAAATTGTCGATCTATACATGAGATAAGGCATCACATGTGGATGTGACACCTTCGGAGGCTGCCACCATTCCTGCAACTAGGTTTCAACAGCTATCCCAACAACCCTCCCTGGCCCCGCAACTTATTCTCTGTCCGAGTCAAGATATTGTGCCCAGGCAACGACCCAGGAACTTGACTACGCTGGTTTGTCTACGGCTCCAACCACCGGTCCTGAAGATGCCATCGATGTTGATGCTCCTTGCCTGCAGCATCCCGAAAATTACAATCACACCCCATGTAAAGGATGCAGTGTGTATATACAATTCTCACATTGTGGATGGTGTGTCAATCTCAGGATATAGATGATGAGGAAGTGAACGCTTTCTTCGGTTCTATGACATTGACTGTTGTCAAAGCCGAGCCCGCTGGCGAGAGTCCTACAAAGGAAGTAGCCCAGCCCCGAGGCGATGGTGGCACAGCGCCACCCTCCGATGAACCCGCCCTTGATTCCAAGGCCCCCGAACCCTCTAGGCCCATCGCGACCCCTGCCAGAGCACCTGCTGCGCTGGGCAACATCAAAATCGAAAGCAACCTGAAGCTCACCAAGGAACACACCCGCCAGGACCATGAAACCATCCTGTTTCACGTAGGTGCTCTCTCTCTCTTTCTCTCTCTCCCTCTCTTCTCTCTGTCCGGTGCCTTTCTTTGTTCCGTGGTTTCGACATCAAGTACATAAGGGGGGTCTTAGGGTTAAAAGACACATAGCTTCGACAGGTTTGTTGCCACATTAGACGATTTAATGTGCGCTTCTTGGGCAGGACGAAGCACCCATTAATTATAGTGGTATAGAGTGAGAAGCATGGCTACTTTTGTTACGGTTGAGCCTGGATAGGCTTTACTATATCCTATACCGAGTGAGACCCCTAAACCCCCAACCCCAAACCTAAACCCTAAACCCTAACTATAGATATCGGGCCCCAAACGAACTGTCCTCCTTTTTGCCAAAACTTAAAACCCTATATACCCTAAAGCCTTTATCAACCTATGTATCCCCAAACCCTGTATAAGCATCGATCTTACAAAGCCAAGAGAAACCCCCTCCCTGGAGCTTGGCCCTCAGCCTGTGCATCCGCTTGCGAGGAGAAACTTCTCCTGGCCGCGAGAAGCAGGCTGAACAGGATGATGAAGCCGCACAAGAAGAAGACGGGTCTCGAAGCTCCCGACTATGCTAAACAGCATTGGAAAGATGGGAACAAACAAGAAATGACTCTCTTGCTTCGGGATTGCAACTTTTGCAAGGACATGTTAGGGCTTCTGCATTCCGTCGAGTGTATCTGTGTGCCTCATTTAGCATATCAAAAACATCTTTGCAGGACGTGTTTATGCAGAGGCTTGAGAAAATCATCACCAAGAAGGAGAAATATACAATAAAGGTCGACGAGGGATGGTTTTCGGTGGCTGAAATGAAAGCGGAGTTGAAATGGTCCCAGCATCACACTTAGCTGGTGCACGGTGCACAGTGCAGGTCTGCGAGATAGATAGCACAGCCAATTACGGGTAACCCCGAGGGATCGGCCTCAGGTCTCGAATCGAGGGCGCGGTTCGCCGGTGCAAAGCCTTGGGCGAAAGCCACTGCCGGCACGGGCCCAGGAGTGTTCAGGGGTTTCGAGCACTTTCAGATTATAGAGGGGTGGTTGCTCGATTTGAACCAAGGCGAAATATGTATGACGATGTGGAGGAGTTCTGGGTCACTATCAGGGAAACGGGGTCTAGAAAGGAGACGCTGTCCGCTGAGGAACGTCAGACGGACATTGGCAAAGCCTCTATGTCTGAAGCACCCTATATGTAAGACCAAAACCCTAAAGAAGCCCTAAACCCTAAATAAGCCCTAAACCCTAAATAAGCCCTAAACCCTAAATAAACCCTGAACCCTAAACCCTATATACATGATGTGACCAAACCAGGATCTCCAAAACTTGATGTCTTCCTGAACTTAGGCTTCTGCCCCTGCGGAGATCCCGGAGGGCTCCTTCAAAGGAGTGGCAGCCTACCAGAAGAGCAAGGCCACAGAAGCCTCCCTGGGACATGCCTCTGCCGGGTCTCAGACCAACAAGGATCGGTTGGTATGTTTATCTTTGAATTCCCTGCACTTTTTAATTTAGGGCCCCTTACATAAAATAATATACAGTTCGAACCTACCGAACCAGACCGGCACTATCCTCAAGAAGTTCTCGGACGACTTGATGACGAAGCTGGGTAAAATCCGAGGGCTCGCCAAGGATCTATCCAAGAACTACGACGGTGATGATGTTAAGAAGTTACACGTCTGAACTACGAGTTGGCTTTGTTGATTTACGATGAGAACCGCCCCAGAGGCTTAAACTATGTCACCTTAATTCATATATGCTTTAAACCCAGCAGTGCTCCTTATCTACAATATAGTCAAGCCGTCTATCTACAAAGTCTCAGTTCTCAGTCCGAAGCCGAAAGCCGTCCATGCCGACAAAGGCATATCGACACCCTGCAGAGCTGGGTGGACAAGATGGAGGAGCAGCACGAAGCGTGCCAGTTGGTTATGAGCGAGGGTGAGGTGAACCCCAATGCAGAGCATCTAGAGCCAATTAGACTCAGTGACTCGATCCTTGTATTTTTCTCTTGAATATCATGTAGACCCGTGTCTGTCTTGTTCAACAAAGGTTCAAGGCGAAGGCTGAAGCGCAGATGAAGACGACTACATTTGTGTTCGGTTCTCGGATCTAACATAGGGTTGCTGCCAGTGCTGCTATGTAGAACCGTTAATGTAATTCTGAGGTGTAGCAAAGCCGTGGCGGCAGAGACGCGGATCCGGACCGAGTGCTTGCTTGCTGTATTGCTGTATTGGGTGACGGGGTTCTAGGGCTCCTATATAATTGGGATCATATATATACAGGCTTCAGGATGCAGGTTTGCCCTAAGTAAACCTATAACCCCTGTATAAACCCTAAACCCTACATATGTGTTTTCCATGAAGCGACCCGAAATCGACATCACGCAGGAATGCCAAGAAGTACTTGGACAAGGTGGACCCGGAAACCCTGAAGCGAGCCCCGCCGAAGCCCAACAATGCTCGGCCGAAGAAAGCAGCAAAGAAGTAGGGTTTTTTTCCCAATATGGGGTTACAACCGTGCGGGCGATCCCGCACGTTGGGGTGATGTTCCCTGTGCAAAGCTGACATGACAAAGGATGCAGGCCTGGCTGCAGCGCTGCAGCCATGCCTGGTCACTCCAGTACTAAATAACGGGGCTACAGGTTTCTATAGGGTCTTAGGGTATTTATGGTTTATGTTTGGGCCAGCTTTGGGAAGGTTTGTGCCAAACTTACCTAGGCAGTGTCACTCGTATATATTCTAGAACCCCACGCCAAACCCAGGCTTAAGCAAGATCGGCTATGCAAGTCAATGTCAGTGACCGAAAGCGCAGGGACTGCATTGTCACATGTGACAATTAAAGACTTAATGTTCCGAAAGGGGACTTCGATGCCATGTGGTCTTTTCGCCACAAGCTTTCGATGCTTCTGAGTGCAACATGTGCGAGGGGCTACCAAAAGCACGTCGCCAATTTAGTCGTGACTTGCAGTTTTGCGGCACAATTACACTATATAATAGCAGTACATGTGCTTCCAAATTCCTGGGCCAGGTCCCAAAGCTGGGCTTGCTGCTCGTGGCTTTTCCGCGGAGATCGGAGAAGGGGCCTGGACCTTGGGGTGATCAGGTTCACTTCGAAAGCTCGCAGCATGAGGGTGTTTGCCGAAGATTTTTGGCCCCAGTGCATCCCCGTGCGAGAGATGAAGCAATGACCGGATTTGTTTGTGCTGCTTCGAGCCATGAGCTGTGAGTCGGAGGAGGATGATGAACTCCTAGACTTATTGACTTGCCACCGCTCCGTTTCTTGTGCAGGCATGATTGACACATTGTCGAATCGCAGGAATCCTATATTGAATGTTGCACATCGAATGCGTGGGCATCTGAGGCTTCTGATGGTCCATTTCCCTGGGACGAAGCCCCTGAAAGATCTACGTGCGTGTCTGGGCCAGTGTCCGCTGTCTGCTCACGACCCAAGCTTCTGGAAGAACCGCCAGCGAAAGAAGCAAAGCCTAGATGTGAGTATTTGGTTGATAATCCCCGAATTAGACAACAAACAGAACTGTTGATGTCTGAGAGTCGTGCTCGAGAGCTTCCACTGGTGTTCCGGCTTCCTCGCAAAGGTCTCGTGGCGGGCAGTGTCTTGCAACATGCACTATATGTTGTGAAGGAATACTTTAGCAAAGCTGGAGCCTCTGGTCTTCAAGTTTGGCTGGACCCACGACCCCATATGGAGATGGAGCAATGATATGTACGGGTACTCCAAGGACGTGGATATTTGGTCCGAAATGATTATTCTCCATATATCGCACGAAGCCTATGGACCCGCCATGCTGGAGGCTGCTCTAATCAATATGTATCACAGCAACTCGCTGGCAGAGGTTGAAAGACAGTCTACTACACAATTTTTTTTGGGAGAGAGAGAGAGAGAGGGAGAGAGAGAGAGAGAGAGAGGGCGAGAAGATTGAGGTCGGCCTGGATGTCGAAACGTACGGCTGGGCGGCGACACGGTCACTGAAAGCGCGACCTCAGCCGAGGATGTATTTATCACTTATATGGTGTACAGGTCATTCAAGCATCCGCCTACCGGAAACACAAGAACCTTCAAAAGAAAGGTTCCTTCAATGATTCCTGCTGAGCTTTCTGGAGCTGTTCAGTGAAGTCATGTGATCGACGCAAGAAAGAACTGCAGAGCCTGCTTGCAAGCACTATATAATTCTCACATCACCGATCGATTCGCATGCCCCTGCTTTCAAAACACCAGATTAACACATCCCTTCGCCGAGGCTTCATGCTCTTCGACTGTTCGTGCTGCACGACGAGTGGTTGCCGACATCGGCGACAGGGCTGCTGCTTCTAGTGGGGGTCTGCTAGAGTTGTCCAAGTGCCGAGAAAATGATGCCGAGACAGACACCCACCGGCTCTTTGTCGAAAGGCTTCATTTAAGCTTGGAGCCGTGGGTCCCTCTATCTTCCTTGACCCACAATGGCCGACGCTTGACTGTCCTGAGATTACGCGATTGGCTTCAGTTCTTAGTCGACAAGAGTTGTTGGCACATCCTCACAGGCCTGGTTCGCAGGGACCCAGGCCGCGAGCGGGCGATTCTCAAAGCATTTTGGCAAAAGTTTCGCTGCACGCACGAGGACCATCCGATCTTCAGTATGGAGAGAGCCGGCCTGCTCTCTCTGGAGCGCACAGCTCCTCTTCTTTATCACGGCGACGAGGGACGGGGACGACGAAGGACCCCGTTTCTAATTACAAGCTGGTCCTCATTTCTTGGCCGTGGATCCGCCCCGTCAGCTAAGCATCGACAGAAGCTTGGAGTCCGCAAGGCTTACAACAAACATTGCACAAACTTTCGTGGCCACTCGTTCACGAACCGGTTCTTTCATGCAACAGAGCAGCATTGAGTGCCAAAATTGTCGAGTTTTGCAATGTGGCTCATTCTTTTAGTCGATCGGTCGAAGACAGAATGTAGTAATAGATACGGCTGTCGATGTACCGGTGGTCTGAATGTAAGGGGCTAGGGATTTTTATTTGTTGGATGCACTCTGTAAATGCAAGCTTATATATAAAGTCCGAACATAGAAGCTCAAATCCCCATGGTTAGCAGAACCTCCTGCAAACTTTCAAAAACAAATCCTTCCTCACAAATCCCAGGCTGGATGGCCGAAGAAAGTGATCGAAGCAGAGGGGGCGTTAGGCATGCTGATGCAGCACTGCAAAGACGAAAACGATTTCGTTTTGCATGAAGGTGTTGTTGATCGAGACAGCGGCGAGAAATTTCACGCTTGCATCCTTGCTGTCTGTGGTGACTGGCAGTGGTTGGTTAAGTCTGGGAACCTTCAAAGATCCTATAACCACGTAGTCAAGGCTACAAAAGAGGCCGCGAATCCCGAAGGCGTCTGCCACTTGTGTCGAGCAGGACAAAGGGGGTACAGTTTCGAGCACTTGGATACGAGGGCCCCTGCCTGGCTATCAACGTTTTTGCAGCAGGATCCCTTTCTGGATCCAAGAAGCCCGCTGGCAGACCTTCCTCATGTGCCAGGTGCGGCTGCCACGATCTTTAAGTTCGACGTATGGCACACGTGCCATCTTGGAATTTGCAAGGCTCTGGCAGGTTCTGCCTTGGCTTTGCTTAGTGAAACCTTCCCTGGCCGAAGCAAGGATGCACGCTTTGAAGCACTTTCGAGGCACTACTTGAACTGGTGCGCCCAGAATCACCGCCAGGCTTTGTTGACGAGAATTCTCAAAGAAACAATTGGCTGGGACAAGAATTCCAACTTCCCGAAGGCGAGTTGGTACAAGGGCTCGCTTTCCACCACGATGTGTGATTACATCGAGTCAGTGACAAAAGATGCAGAATTTCAGGACGAGCTCTTGACAAAGTGTGGTGAAGCCGTGCAGGTTTTGAACCAGTTTATTTCTGGACTTTATCAAGGCGACGCATTTCTAGAGCCTGCCACCGCGCGGAATTTGGGGGAAATCGGGCTACGCTTTCTTCGCAGGTACAGCTGGTGTGTCACACGGGCACATGAAGAGAAAAGATGTCTATTTCTCCTACTTCCCAAATTTCATTGCCTCCATCATATCGCCCTTCAGGATCTCTTGATCCCCTCCCAGACGGCTGCCTGGGTGGTCAACCCGATCGTCCACTCCGTACAATTGGCCGAGGACTATATCGGACGAAATTCACGAACCAGTCGGCACACCCACCCGTCGACAACCACGCGGCGAGTTGCTGAAAGACATTTGCAAGCTGCATTCGCGAAATACGTGGAAGCGCAATACCTAGTTGCCGAAGGCGACAGCTAGCAAGGATGACAGCACGAATCGAGATTCTAAGGATGACACCACACATCGTGATAGGTATGTCATTTCTAGAAACCCTAAACCCCAAACCCTAAACGGGAGTTGTTTCAGAACCCATCTCTGGAGTGCTGCCTTGAGCTCCCGGCATGGCACAAGATCGAGATCGCCAGCAGGATGCGAAACATAAGCGGGGGCTTTGGCTTTGGATGTTTACAGGATTTGGCCGGTTTCACAGGGTTCCCGGTTTCACAGGGTTCTTATTCAGGGCTCTCTTTCGGTAATGCTGCGAATGTTGGTTTCATGTTGAGTACATCAACGTTCTTATCGAAACAGCTGCTTTCTCCAAGCATGTACAAAACCCGGTTTTAAAGCAAACCCCTGTTTCTCCTTAAAGAACCTAGTTATTTTTTATAACCTACAATTTATTAGGGTTTAGGAGGTCTAGGTATATATATATGCATACGTATACATACACCCTGAACTTGGTACACGACTTGGCTATCTTAACACAATGCGTGAAACGGATACCGTTTCCTTGACCCCGCCCCCCCCCCCTCCTGTCTTCCCCGGGAACCATGCGGGTTGTCCTGTATTCGGGGCATCTGCTGAATAGGGGTAATTCAACACTCCAGATGAACTAGTGACTAGAATCAACAATGTTATGGCCTTCGGACAGTCCTGCTTGGCATGGCAGAGGCCACACACCTCGTCGGCCGGAAGGGTCGAGGGCGACTGTGGGGAGTTGATCTGCATTGCGGCCGTGATCTGACCGTTGTGCCTACAACCGAAGACGAGCCCAGCTCAAGCCCCCTTCTTCTCACTGCAAATTCCGGGTCTCGTTTTGTTACCACTTGCACCGAATGGTCGCTTGTCGCTGCAGTGCTCTGGCGGGTAGCACCACTTTCAATCCCAGTCCATGCTCACGAAGCTCCCTCACAACTCCACAACTCCAAAGCCGGCGAAGTGGCCTCCGCGCAGTCGCAGAAGGCCTGGAGAGTCGACAGCTGATTTTTCTCGTACGGCCGGCTGTGGAGCTCCTGAATTCACAAGTTTACGGTGGAGTCTGGAGACTGCAATCGCTCTTCACGCGATCAACGAGGCCAGCTCCTCGAAAGCGGCATCCAGCTCCGCAATGAGTTGTTGGCGAAAGCTTAGCTCAACATGCATATCTCTGCGGATTGCTCTGTTTACAGCCGGGAGATGTCGAAGCCCCAAAAATCCCGAAATAAGGATTGGCCGGACGGCTCCGAGGAAGTCTCCGTGCTGGGGCGCAGCTGACGCACCCAAGCCTCTCCTGCCAGGCTGTGCTACAGTAGGCCGCTGTACGAGCTCGTGGCAGCTCGGGGCTTCGTGATCCAAATCTGAACAGCGAGATAAACATGGAGCTTCAAGGCTGTTGCTCGGGCCCCTCAGGCCATCAGGTGCTCCGTCTTAGGGTCCTAGCTTTCGAGCTTTCCCAGCCCGGCCGTGACCTGGCTCATGACGCATGACGCAAGTTCGCTTCAGCTATATCGTGGGAACCCATCCATGCCCGGACCTGCGAAATTGCCACATGAGTCATGGAGAGCCTGGCAAGACGCAAGCTTTGTGAATCCGACGAATGTAGCGCTCGAGGTCCCAGACTTTCATGCCAGTCACAAGCGCATGGAAAACGTACCTGCGTGGATCCCCAATCACGGCAATCAGGCGCCTACACTGCATACAGGTTCTCGAGCACACGATGCAGCATTCAAAGCACATGCATCTCTGGTCCGTTGTTCTCGTTTCCCTTTCGAATTTCGAAGTGAAAGATCAAGTTTTGTTTCGTCGCCTGCTCCTCTTTCCATGAAGGCCAAGGTACATGCTGCCTTGTTCCATCTCGGGGTGGCGACGACGGAGGTGTGATTCTGCAGGAAAATCAGCAGGATTCACCACCAGGCCTATGTGATGGGCCTGCAAGAACGCAGAAGCTGTAGGCCAAGTTCCAACAAGCAAGTGGATAGTGAGCTCCTACCCAGGAATTCCGACAGTTACCATCTGTGTCACAGAGCCAAAACAATGTCAACCTCCCTTGCACTGCGTTGGAAACAAGTTGGTGCAGGAAACAAACTTGTTCGCCTGAGCCTTGGACGAAGCGGTTCAAATGCTCCCTCATGGCCCTCCTCTTAATCCCCAGCTTCCACACCCCTACTGGGCCCCCACGACCAGCGATGACAGCGGATTCTGGGCTTTGTGGAACCCCGCTAAAAACCTGCGCCCGTTCTCGAAGCGCTTAGAATAGCATGCTTCGCCCGCCTGCCAACAAAGGCAGCTACGCATGAAGCAGGCGCCAGGACCTGAGTTCCAAGAGGAACCCGAAACTTAACTCCTTGTCTCCTTGTAAGTCCTTCTTGCAACTTGTCAGTTCTGGGCGAAGGCTGTTGGAAGGCAGCAGACGTGAATTGCAACGTCCTTTTCTGCCAAGATGCTCGAGAGGATTGGCTCCTTGCTGAGAAGCACGTCCCCGGACTGCAGCTCCGAAAGCATCACCTCTGTCCAAACCGCGGTGGGGATGCAGGCGTTTGAGCTGCCAAAGCAGGAAGGTATGACCGATAACAGAACATCTCACATAGCAAAAACAATGAATCCTCGGTTTGGAGCTTGGCATGTACACTGGGCCCACGAAACCCTGGATCCAGCGGTCTTGCGATTGAACCCATGCCCCGCTTCCTCAACATGCATGTCAAGGCGCATGGACCTCTTCGACTTGGGTGCTGTGACAAGCGCCCATGGCTGCGGACTGCTGGATGCTCGAGGTCGCTACAGGTCCGTCAGGTCCAAGAGTACGGTTGACAGCTCGTGGATGTCTGCACCAGGTAATCAGCGCAGTCTGCGGGGTGACGGGACCCCACCCAGGGCAACAACACAAATACCCAACACGAGCGATCGGGAGTAAGCTAACTACAGTTTTCGGCTGTGGGGTCTTGTAAAGTACACGGCAGAACTGGACTCCGGCGACTTCTGCAGGTTAAAGGTTTCCAGCCGCAACCACTGTACTGAGGCATTGTGAACAGGCCGGCGAAGCAGATCCGTGAACATTTCGCGAGTCCTTTGCATTCCCAGACTCAAACTGGATAAACTTGTTGAAGACGGATCTTGGACAGATTCGTGCTGCAGCTAATCTCTGAATACGCTCTATGCTCCAAGACTCCTTGCGGTGATGTCAGCTATTTCATAATTTAGCAAAAAAGTAGTCCTAGTGCGTCTCTATTCTTCCCTGATCCGGGGAGGGTTGGTGGTGGAAACCCCTCCCAAGCTGAAGCAGCGGAGCCCGGAGACTGTTGAGAACTATCGTGAAGATGCCCGGACTAGACTCTGCCATGCTGGGGCTCAGACCATAGTGGGTCCAGGTCCGTGAAGTTCCTGAGAAAAAGCTATGAAGCAGCTCACACGATATAGGCCTCCAATGTTGCACTGTGTTTGGTGGAGCGCCTGCCGAAACCTTTGCCGAGCCCTTGAACCCAGTGTGCTCCCCCCAGACCCCCGTCCCTGTAGAGTTATACTTAAGTGCACTTGTTTTCTTGCAATACAGTAGTCATGACAACAGCACAGTGGAGCGATGGTACAGTACAATAGTACAGCAGTAGTACAGCAGCAGAACCCGAGCCTGAGCCCGCCGAAACCCTTACAAAAGTTAAGTCATGAGCATCAGCAGCACAAGGACCACGAACAAAAAACACGCAGGGCGAATTTCTCCGAACAGACGCATTAAAACGGATTTCTCAAACACTGTGCTACAAGGGGGCATCCAAGGCTTGAGTCATCCTGCGAGAGGTTCTTTTGACACTTTCCCACAGAGTTGCTTCCCAAAGTGTGCTCTCTTTTCACTCTTTGATAGACCTTCATGAAGCTGCTTTCTGGAATCGTCTCATGTCCTCTATCCTTGTGGGGCCCTCGAACAACGGCGTCCGTGTGTTGAAACAGGACGTCGATCCTCTACCTTTGGCGTTGGGTTCAATGCCGTTATCGGCCTAACGTCGTTCGCTGTCCCAAGTCCCGTCCAACAACAGAGTTGCGGCCTACTGATTCCGGAAATGCAAAGCCTGAATCCCGCCGTCTGGTCTAGCCCAGATTCGCCAGCCAGCGAGCTTCGGAAGTGGAGTCCAGCAGTAGCTCGACCTCTGGAAGCTTAGACTCTCTAGACGAGTATGGCCAGGAGGGCGTGATGGCACTCTGATCCAGGGAGGTTCCCTCAAGTTGCCCAGATGTGCTTCTGGTGACTCCCACAATGCAGAATACACTCAGCCGAAGCGGTCCTCGACAAGCTGTTGGATCAAGTCGGTGCCGTCCACCAGTGGGTCGACGGAGTCCTTCTCCTGTGAGAAGGCAAAACTCGGCCGGAGATCGAAGGTCAGCTGCTAAGCTAAGGTCCAGTACCCTCCCAAAGGCCTTCTCTCCATGGCCCTTGTGCGACGTCTTGCTCTTCCGCGAAGAGGCATACATCAGCAGCAGGATGCCAGCAGTCTCAAGGCGACAACAGGGCAAACAAGGAGCACACGAGAAGTGAACATGTCGGCCATGGGCGTGCAAGTCACTGCTATTTCTGCTTATAACCTGACGTAAAGAAGCCCTCCTCCGGTTTACGGCTCCCAGCATATGTCCCAGAAATAACCGAAGCAGGTTGAAGCAAATGCTACAGTACTCCCTCGGTAATTCACAACAGTGCAATGGGTACTGACAGGTGGCCAACTCACTCGGATTCGACTGGACTGACCCGAGGCCTGCGGAAGGATCTTATCCGCATTGTCCTTGTGAAAGCCGTTAAAGACCTTCACCTCAAGCTCGAGGGTTCCACACTCAGCCCTCTGGCCTGACTCAACATCACTCCAAGCCCTAAACTCAACTTTGTCAGCTCCAACAAAGAGAGGGGGTCATTGGCTTCCCCGCTGAAACCGTTGCCCTCTCACTCCAACAGGCTGTTCATGCACCTCCTAACCAGGGGTCTTGCCAGGCGAAGCTTCGCAGGGACACCCAGAGGAGCACGGCCTTGGAGGGGACTTGTTATGCCGTTATGCGTGCACATTGTCATTCATCCGCTCGCCAGCAAGCACGCACTTGTTACTTTAGAATTGCTTTGGCTATCCAGCTGCACGATTGCCGGCTCGGTTGTTGCATCTATGCAGTACGCGATTGGATCTTAAGCAAACATAAACTGTCAGTGGTATGGGTGATCTGACTCTAGCTGCTCACGCTACTGTAGAAACCCCGAATCTCGCCCCCTCCTTCAATTCAACCTGATACCTGAATGAAGACTTGCTTGATCATGATACTTCTGGCGAGGTCTCCAGTTAAGCAGATTGCTGAGAGCCCGCACGCTGGACATGGAGTTCCGCGCGGTCGAAAAGGGTCGGCTCGGAGGATTCCCGAGCCATGGAGACCTCGGCACATGGTGTCGTCCTACTACAGTACTACACTTACATGCGTGTTGGGGCCCTTACTGCAGCATATCACAGAAGGCCGCTCAGAAGTTGGGGCAACTCCGTTGCACATGATAGCTTGCGGGGACGTTTGGGTAGTTCCTCAGAGCGCCCGTGAAATAGGCTTGGAACGGCACTCCTCCACTATGTTCTGCTACTTCGGGCAAGACGTTCTCCAAGATTCCGCCTCGACACGTTACCACCAAAGCTACTTCGTGTCCGGGTCGTGAGCATCAGGGCCTACTGTAGTAGCTGAAGAGCGCGGAATTGAGCTTGCTTCGCCCGCCCATATCAGATAACTCGGCGGCTGAGCGGGGCTCAAAAGCTCGGGCTACGAATCGCGAGCCCTTATCACGTGTTCGAGCCGACATGATATGCCCTGAGAGGCGTGCCAATGCATGCGAGACCTACGAATTTGTCACCTTCTGCTATGTATTCTGAGCTATGTATTCTGAGACATCTGCAGACTCGGGAGCAGCAGACTTGACTTCCTCTGCCTCCTCATCATCTGCCTGCCAAGACAACTTCAATGCAGTCAGGCAAACATGCTTCTCTACAGGGCTTGAAGTCTGCAAGTCCTTCGGATTGCTTACAGTGGACCGACAACACCACATGATTGCTCAAGACTCCTTTCGCGAACCATGTGGGCCTCGAAGTACAACTGGATGCAAGTTTCACAGAGATCTCGCACTTGGAATCACTGCAGACTATCCTTGCAGCTCGAACACCCTGAGAATCCTCTGCTGCTGGCCAGCCAGCCTCGTCATTGTCGCTCAGCTCCTGTACAATGTCGAGACTGCGAGGACACAACAGCACGGAACAAATCCGTGAGTCGCTGCAAGCCATGTAACTTATCTCTGCAATGTCCACCCATTCGCCGACATCCATCCACTCGGCAGGGGCCTCCAAATCAGCATCAGCCTCAGTGGTCACCTCCTCGAAACTCAGCCTGGGCTAAGAGAGAAGTCTTCGGATGCGGAAGTGCAAGGCTATGTCGACTTCTTCATTTTAACGCGGCGAATGTTCGCTACAGGTGCAGCTCTGTGTGTGTGTGTGTGTGTGAAGTGCTGGCTTATTCAACTCCCGGCTGGCTCTCCTGCCCTCTCTTCGTTTTCGGTTTGGCACGGCTGTGTCTAACTTCTTGGCATGTGTGCGTATGCACTGTGCGCGTCTCTTTTTCTCTCTCCGTGTCGTTCCTTCTCTCTCCGTCCCCGTCTGTCCAGACCTGTGTTCTTGCCGCTGGTCTGTCTGCCTCCGGTCTATCCGTCTATCTTCCTGCAATCCTGCGAAGCCTCGCAGCAGAGGCATGCATGCATGCATGCGACGAGTTCGAAACAACTGCAATCTGGCATAAGCCACCCATGACACTGCCATGTCACTTGCCTAGATTGCACAAACGAGGAGGACGACCGAAGACCGCGAAGCCAACGAATTTTGTGAAGCTCGTCGCAGTGTCGAGGAACTCTTGCAGCGACGACTCCTCTTTGGCAGTCAAGTGGTCCTGAAGTGACATGTCGCAGCATCCCCGCAGAACACGACAAGAAAAACATGCGCGAGATCCAAGGCATTGCAAGAACATCGAGGGAAGTCATCCAGAAAACACATCCGACAACGTCGCACAGGTGTGAGGACCACGTTTACTCGCCAAATCGTTTCCTGCTTCGCGCAATGTCGGAGACCCGTCCCACGAGGCCCCTGATTTTACGTTTCGTCCCTGATCGTACAGGTGTGAAACCGGATGGCGATCGCCCTGGCGTCTTGCCTCCTCGTGACAGTCTGTGAGGACGTCGAAGGCCGCGAGAAGGGACTCAACATTCTTGCCTGATCTTGGATTTGTACACACTGCGCAGTGCACAGCAGGAGATGATGAAGCTTTCAGGGCACGGGTGCATTTCTCTCTTCCTATCCAGGGGCTGTGACCCGTCCTAGCTGGCTTAACCCCTTAACCAAAGTAAGCAGGCGGCAAACAATCTCGGTCCGGAGCATGTTGACCTCATGTGCCGGCTGACTCATCTCCAGCCCATGTGCGCGAACGACCCATGCCTTTGCGCTATGCAGAGAGGTCTCAGATTTTGTCCCCGGTCCGGGGGCCTCACCGGGCCCTTGGGCACAGGCTGCTCATCGCCGTTCACAGGCACCCGTGTGGACCTCGTTGGCCGTGTTCTGAGGTCATCCGGTGTCAGACTTCTCAAGAATACCACCGATCAGTTTTGCGCTTGCGAGCTGACCGGTTCTGGGCTTTCCCGCGGTTGTAGCCCCACTAGTGCCAGTGCAAGTTAGCAAGCTCATGCAGCGTTCCATATCTGTCGTGCATGAAGATCAAGCCTGCGTTGCGACTTAAGGAGTGGATGTCCACCCTGTCGAAGCTGCAAAGAGGTACGAATTGGTATAACCAGAAAACGTCAGCCATTTCCTGCGCTAAAATTGTGCGCAGACTCGCCCCCGAAACTCAACACATCTCAACACTTGCTCAATCAGGGCCCCGACGGCTGTCCAGCAGGACCTCTGGCCCAGGTGCAGCGAAGAACCTGCTGCTCTGCATGCGAGATGGTCCTACAGTACCCGTCAGCATCGTCAAAAAAGAATAGGTTCAACGTGGTTGTGGAGGCTGCTGAAATACATCCGGAAGGCTCTCATGGTGAGCAAGCTGCTTTGCAGTTGGCAGGTATAGCGCGATTTTGTACGTTCCTGGCAGTTAACGCTCAGTTCACTCTACAGTTAACACTGCCGACCTGTTGCCCCAAAAAAGCATTTTTCAGATTTTATGCATTAAAGAAAGAAGCTCTTGACCCTATCGCCCTTAATGTTGGGAGTGGAGAAAATGCTTGTTTTTACTGCATTTCGGCAGTGTGTTAACTGAGTGTTAAACTGTGCAAAACATAGAAAAAGGCTTCTACGCCATGTTTACGCCCAGAGCCACACTGGACGTTCGACCAAACCGCTCGGAACTGTTCCGCTATGGGGGTCGGCGGATCGAGGAAATCTGACACCGCCCAGATGCTTAAGGCTTACTCATGACGTCGCCCATCACCAGGACCCCCCAACCCCGTTCAATTATATTGATGATACTATGCCATGTGCTGTTGCAAGATTCTTGTCATTGGAACCCGCGGCACTTCCCAGGACTGGACATCAACGTTCAACAGGGCGTGTGCGGGGTACTCTCGTTGGGGCCTAGTCAACCGGGCGCAAGATTTCCTCCTTCAGCATACAGTATACTTGCGCTGGCTGGAAGCTCTGGACAAGCGGTGTGCCAATTATTGTCAAGGCGTAATTAAGACGCAAGAGGAATCAACAAACATTGCAATGCACGTCCTTGGCTTCGCATCCGTGATTAACTCAAGGGGCAGCAGAACGCATGCGCTTCGGGGCGTCGGGCTTTGCGTGGAGCGGCGAAGGTATTAGACCCGGTGCTCCGAAATCCAGGTGACTTCTGACACAATCAGCTCACCGTAACTACTCCCCACTCTACCCCCCATCTACGCCATGTTGAGAACCCTTCAGTCTGCCTCAGCTAACGGTGTCAGCCTGGGGCCATAGATGGCGAACTGGGGCACAGGCCTCTCCTGGCATTTGCATAGAATGGTCAGGTATGTGGTGCTCTGAGTCTGCTGCTGCAAGTCTTTTCGTCGGAAGTGCCGCTCACATGCCAGTACCGTCTTATGTGCTGTCCTCACGAGTAAGGGGGCTTCTCAGGAGGAGGCAGGTCAAACCTGGGTCAAACAAGAGTGACAAGAGTTAATGCTTCTTGTTCCCAAGCCAGCTATACCTCCAATACAGCCAATGCAAGTTACAAGATAAATAAAACCACAACATAACTCTGCCTGGGCTCATGTTGCCTGCGGACTTCGTGGTAGCAGCAAGGAAGGGATTGCCAGTCAAACAGTGAAGCCTCTGCCGGGGATCCTGAGCCCCAACAACCCTTGGCCCTGGCGGGTTGAAACGTCTTGAATCCATCATTTCCACGCCCCCCCCCCCCCCCCCCAATTCTTGACTCCTCCTCGGAGAACTCGGCCATGCTGTCCTGCAACTACCATATGACAGCAACCTACGATAACGATGACAACCAATGTCAATGCTACTCCCCAGCTTGCCACGTTCACTATGAGGCATGAAACCCGGACTTAGCTGCACCAGGCTGACAAAACCCAGACACGCAACCAGAATCAACCGAAGGCCCGAGAACAGACCATGAGTTAGTCCGTCTGAATCCACCTAGGCCAGCACAACAAGCATCTCAGCCATATATCACTGTGTCTGGCTGCACGACCACGCATGCTTTTGCCCTCATCCCTTCGGCATTTCCCTGGTCACACTCGCAAACCAAGAAGCAGGTCTTCTTAGTCTTCGGTTGCACGCCCATGGATGAACTTGAATCTCCTTCTGGTTTGAAACGTCGATCGGGCTTGAATGTAGCCATGCAAACAGCTCATGCAACGGGAATGTGACGACGGGCATGCTGATGTGGAGGCTCCGCACAGGGCTCTCCACAGCAGCAGGGCTTTGCAGGAGAACCCTTGGCCGCGTGCGACATCTGGATTCAACTTGGCCGGTGGGTGCGAAAAGCAATGCTTGGCGTGCATGGACACAAGACATTGCCATGGCTCAGTTGGGAAGATGAGAGATCCCTGTAGAAAAACTGTTTCCGGGCTTAGGCATTAAATCGGCTCAAGAATCCATGTTGTGCCGCGTAAGCCTTCGTCCAGAGGGCTCAGCGCCTCTGCACGAGCCTCCTGTATGGATCGCAGCGAGCTCACTCGCTAGCTCCAAACCACGTGCATTTTATGCATGCGGGTAGACCATGGATCTCTTGACAACCCGTACACTCTGTTCGATCTGGGGTCTGGATGCCCCGGAAGCCCCTCCTTTCAAGCTCCCTCCAGTCCCAGGAAACCCGTATTCACATCATAGACGAGATCTGCGCAAGCGTAGACTGCTTTTGTCCCATTGGACTTGGTATACCTCGGCTCCACAGCGCTTTGCGGCGATGCCTTCACTCTCAAGATCACTGTGCGGCAACCACATGCAAGCCATAGTCTATTCTGTAAACCCAGCGACTCGATTGTTCCGATCACGTCGCGAACCTTTTGACCAACCACCGCGCCACAGCGTGCGGCAATGTACTCCGTCGAGGGGACCTCACCATGTCACAGCGTAGGTCAGCTAGAACTTAACAGGCTTAGCACGATGTCTCATTCGCCAGTTCACCGACCCCTGCCGTAAACAACACCGACTTCGGTTCGATCGAAAGTCAAAACTATGCCAGGTCGTGCCAACACTCTGCGTCCAAGTGCACATCCTTGCTTACGCCTACGGGTCTTAACCACAGTGGTACAGTCTTCATACCACTACTTGCCGATCTGCGATTGAGTGGAGCAGCGCTTTGAACCAGTGCTGCTGAAAGCTTCAAACGTACCAGTTTGCGCTAAATGCTACCGCCAACCCCCATAATTACGGCTAAGACTTCAAACAGCTGGGCGTGCACCAAGCCTAGCCAAGACCACGAAAACATACAATAACATGACCTGAAAGGCTGCCTGTGCCTCGACTGGGCAAAAAGCAGTCGTCTGACATGCAACCAACATACGAGGTACAAGGGAAACATCACTGTTCGAAATGGTGCATGAAAAGATCGAAGGCAGTGGCCTTCTCTGCTTTCGTAATGATGGAGTCCATGTAGTTTTGCTGGATGTCCTGTCTATCATTGGCAGGGAAATATTTTCTTTGACTCTCACACTGCCGGAGTGCATCTGCTGCAATGGTCCAAGTTGTCTGAAAAGGAAGGCTTCAGCACAAAACAACGCCCTTTCGGCTCGATCACCGGCTTTAGATCGCAGCCGCCAGGCCCAACCCCATAAACACACGATTTCACTACAAACAAGATTTCGCCGCTGCCTTGGCGCGGAGCTTCTTCGTGGGGGGCTGGTCTCCTGCCGCCTTGCCCATGCATTGACACATCTCAGTAGAAAACCAACACAGTGCGTCAGTATCTTGCCGTACGACCTCGGCACCCTGACCAATGCTCTACAACAGGACCGTCATTGTTAATGTCCGACCTTGCTTGAGACGTCAGGAGGCGTCGCAGTCTTGCCTGGCTCTTTCCTCGGGATCAGAGAGGAATCTGTTCACAGGGCTTCGCAACACAAGGGAATTGTTTTAAGATCCTCAAGCTTAAGAATCAACGACATAGTCCTAGGACATGGAGAGATGAAAAAGAGAGAGAGAGAGAGAGAGAGCGAGCGAGAGAGAGAGAGAGAGAGACGGAGAGTGTGTGTAAGCGAGAGCAAGGGAGCTAGATGATGGGGATGGGGAGCAGAGGGCGAGGGAGAGCCAAGGAAGGAAGAGCGAGAGTTCGCAAACATTGCCAAGAGATTGCCTCGTCTTTGGTGTCTCTGTCCCTTCCTTGGGCGTCCCGGGCTTGTTGTCCTTCAAACAGACAGCGTTGTTTTACTCTCGGTGCGTTTCACGTCGGCTCGGAGCTGTGCCAGGGTTGGCTCAGTTCTGCGGGGGACTCTCGGATTTGAAGCTAGATTCGTGCTCTAGGCGGGGTCAGCATACGACATGTTTAGCTGTCCATCAGCCTTGCACACCGTCTTCGCCGCTTGAAGCCCAAAAAGCATGCCATTCACCACCCTATTCCACTGGTGCACACCCCCAAAACTCGGTCAGCCTTACCGATCCCATGCTATGCCTTTGCCCCAAGTCCTTCGGAGTTCCGGGCTTCGCAGCATCCTTCGGTGTCGGGGGCTTTGCCGCCTCTTTCGGCGTTCCGGACCTCCCAACTTCCTTGGGTGTCCCCGGCCTTGCGACTTCTTTGGGAGTCGGGGGCTTCGCCGATTCCTTCGGAGTGGAGGGCTTCGTGAAATCCAATGGCGTCGGCGGCTTCTTTGCCTGTGCCGGCTCGGTAAAGCACGCATGTTACAAGCAAAACCCCTTCCCCGCTCTTCGCGTTGCCTCCTTGTCATCTGCGTCATCCTCTTTGGGCAGAGTACAAGCACAGGCATTGCTTGACGACTAGGCGCACATCGCAAACCTCACCCACTGCATCCGACAGAATCACGATCTCTGAAAGCTCGAAGCCAACAATCCGCTGAACTGTGCCTCAAACCATATGCCCGAGATTGAAAGACTTGTGGTCCAACAGCAAAGCTGGCCATCGTCCTCTCTGCCGCGCTTGGGCTTCCTTTTCGGCTCTTTCGCCACCTGCACGCGTCCTACAACGTCCAGGGGCCATGCGAATGGGTCGCATGCAACCCGGCCAAGACAGTGGACTCGAGCCATTCTCTACTTGCCGAACAAGCCGAAAGTCTTTCTTGAAGTGTCCAGCCCGAAGCCTCTGGTCCTCTAACCATGAAGCCAGCTCTACTTGCAGGTGAATCACACAGCAAACACGTCAAACAGCTATGTCATGTCTGGCGCTTCATTGGTGAAACATGCTGGGCTGTCAAAATGATGGGGGGAATATGGGGCAAGAATGCAAGCAATCCGGCGAAGAACACGGCTCACAATTGCATTTTCCATAGGCAGTCACAGATAGTCGCAGAGGCTTGCTCAGAATGTTAAGAGCCACTCGTCAAACTATGAATTCCCACAAGAGACCGAAGATCTTCCGAAGATGGGAATGCGCTTCAAGACTGCCCTACACCCTCAAGAACCAGCAAGCCTCGCCCTCGGAGTCGGGTTCTTGATCAGGCCAGGTCATGATGACCTGCTCCGTGTCAGAACATCTGAGAACGTCTGCTCCCAATCGGCTGTTGACTCTTATGCTTGATCGATGCTTTCGAGCCAGCAGCGAGTCGGCGTCGGGAGGTTCTAGCTCTAACATTCCTAACTAAGCACCGACTTCAGCAAAGAGCTGATGAGTGGATGAGTGCTCAGGATCCCCCCGTACTTGTAAGCCACCTAAATCTCTCAGGCCTGACTAGGATCCTGCGTATTGCTGTCGGATCCCCTAGTTTTAAAGTTTGTCATGGCAAAGTTGTCCGGCGGAGAGATTTTTTCGGGAGCCGCGGTCTGGAAATGTCAAGTGATTCAATTACAGTCTGAGGCATCTGAGCAATTACCGAATCATTGTCTGAGCTATGGAACACTCAGGACAAAAAGCTCGTATGGTATATACGGTATGCTGCACAAGCTGCTTTGAGCGCTCACGCTACTCCCTCTCCAAAAGAACATACTTAAATCATTATGTGTATATATATATATATACATACAAGGCTCCAGAAGCAGCCCAATCTAGAACAACGTGCGGATGCTACAGAGGAGTGATGAACGTGGGTTAAGTGCCAATACATTTGACGAAAGGAAATGAAGATAAAGTGTAGAACTCCAGGTCGGTCGGAAGCATCTGCCAGGTCCTGCATCGCCCCCTCCAGCCCTTCCCCCCAAACCAAAGCAAGAACCAAGTGCTTGCCTCGCGCTCTGCCGTCTTGTGTTTGCGGAAGACCTGCTCAAACAGACACTTTTTTGAAAAAGAAGACGGATGCTGAACTGCAGAGCTTGCAGACGTCAAACTGATGAAGGCCGTCCCATTCGATCAACTCCTCTGAACCAAGATCCCGAGCCTGCGGCCATCGAGCTAAAATTTCTTCCTGAGGTTGTTTCAGGCTTTTCAGCTCTTGTCCGCGGTCTAGGCGAGCTTCGGATGCAAAGAAGTGGTTCAGAACCATGGCAGCCCTCCCGGCAACAGTCCTGGCTCTGCTTCTCTGCTTTTCTCCGGCCTTCTTTGTTTGTATTGGCCCCGCCTGGCGCCAGATTTGAAACTGCAATTTTTGCTTCTTTTGCGATGGTCAAGACAAGATGTTCATGCGACAATTACTCGGGCCGCATCCCGGACTCTGCAACTGTTAAAGCTGTCTCCACTGCACAGATTCCACAAGCCACCGAGTAAGCACAAACAACTACATAATGCCTGGGTTCTTTCGGTGCTTCGCTTCGATCATCCACCGATTACCTGGATGCTAGCACAGTGACAGGCAATCCTCCAAAATGCTCCAGAAGTCCCTTTGCAAGGACTGGTAGCTAGGGGGGCTGGGGTATGTTCGCCGCACATGTCGAGTTGCACCGGAGGACCGAAGCGTGCTTCTCGATGTGCTGAACCTGTCCGCGGTACCCGAGCAGTCTTCCTCATCTTTGCTGTAGAAGAAAAGGGCTTAACGTTTGTTTTTTGTTTCCCTCCCTCCCTCCCTCCCTCCCTCCCTCCCTCTCTCTCTGCTTCAGCACTAGCTGCTGTCACAAAGACTTCGGATAAGATACACCAGCGGTCGAACCCCAATATATGGTAGCCCCTGGTGATTTGGCCACAACAAACAGAATCCGGTTTATCTGCGCAGTAGTGCTGATGTGTTTTCCCCAGCGACAAACAGTCTGCAAGAAAGCGCATTATCACTGATCACCGTCGTTCTTCCTCTTTGTACTCATGGGCGGAACTCTCTAAGAACAAGTCAGTTGTGCGCGGCCTGCTTTCCCCGGCGTTTACCGTGTGCTGCAATGCTGCAAGCAATGAAAGTGCGGACGCAACTGAGAAATGCAATCCAGTCAAGTATGTCGCGGGCACCGTCACCTGACAAAAATGTGTTCTACCTCTGGCTATAGATTGAAGCGCACAGCTTGTGATGTATGTACTTCATAAATAGACAAAAGGGAGACAACACAATACCTACAGCGCAGTGATGAGCACAACAGTTACGGCGCTGCAGACCCTGAAGGATTGTGATGCCTGTTGCATCGAGGTTGGTGCAGTCGTTCGATGTTGCGATCGGATCGATGTATTGAGATTCGATTTTCGTTTTCCTGCTTGTTCCGTCGCAAACAGCACCAAGACTGCCACTACCATGCCGGGGCCGAGGAGCCGTGAACACGAAGTCCTCCTTTCGAACCAATGATTCGTCGAAGCGAACTGGAGAAAGGTCCGCAACGAAGAAATCGCCGGGAATGTGATGATGCGTCTCATACTCGTGTCTGCCGAAAGTTCGCCTGGGCTACTCGCAAGCGGTATCGAAGCAAATCGAAACCGTGCTCTTTAGTAACTTTAGGTTGACGTTCAAGTTTGGCTCAAACCTAGCTCATAACAGGAAAGGCGAACTTCACTCATCTGCCAGTGCCATTGCGTCGCATCAAAAAAGTGATGAACCCCTATGCCCTTGGCAAAAGCTCGCACAAGAACCGCGACAAACCGGAAGGAGTGTCGACATCATGCATTTGGACCGAAAATCATGCACATCTTGCTGCAACAGAAAAAATTCTATTTCAGCCCGACCAACCACACAGTCTCGTGGCTCAGTGATTCCATTATTGTGGACACCGGCCAGATAAGGTCTCTGTTGACCCTCGTGAGCCCGAAGCTTTGCCAGCAAGAACCTTAGTCGCATGCGAGCGGGCCTAGCAGTTTCAGCATGGAGCAGCTTGCACGTGATGAACCTCAATGCAGTCTTTATCTGCTGAATAATGGACGAGACTCGACGGAATCTATGCCATCGATCACTGACTTTAGTGTGGTCTATTCCATCGAACCTTCATCATAGATCTTCCTGGTTTTGAAGGCCAGTCGTGACACCTGCCGCTCTTCTTCTCTACGTTGCTCTGAATGCACGTTCAGACGGCTCCAACCCCCGGCCACGGCCGCAAGGGTCATTGACTGTGGATCATTGTCAAAAATCGCGGTGGGCAACATACTGGTCTCGGCCAGACATGCGAGGTTGTGACTAGGTAAGACGAAGAGAATAGTACCAATGGAGAATGCCAGTCCACAGTTTGCCGTCTTTACTAATGACAAAGCGGTTTTGCCCGTGCCGCCTCACTTTATTCTCCACGTTACATCAATATGCCCCTTTCCTCCTGTGCCATTTTGTCGCTCTCGGCCGAGTCTCAACCAACACCATGGGAGTCTATGGTGCGAGTCTGCACATCATGTCTGGGAAAGCCCAAGCCACTGAGCCGCCGCCACCGGTGAGGCGACAACAGCTTTGGAGGAGTTCCAGGCTGTCTTCAATGCATCCTGACCGTGCTGATTGGCAAAAACAGGCTACGAACAGTTGATATTTGAAGTTCAAGCATGAGTGGCCCAGCCTCGGTCTTGGCGACTCGGGGACCTGGTCGGAATTCCCATCCTGAGTCACCGTTTGGTAGCCGGTGGACAGTGGTCCATGCCGTGTGAGGTTTGGCGGCGGGTAGACAAGTTGAGTGCTGTCCGGCCGATGGAAAAATTAGATAGAACTGCACAGCTAAGGAGAGGGATGGGACAATACATGTAGGTTCGGTAAGTGGGAAATCTGAGACAAAACCTGCAGGTCGAGGACTGCACGATGGACCCTTGACTAATGGCGCAACCCAGATCGGATGAGATGATAAAGTGGGTTGGTGTTGCAAAAGAACCTGCATAGACTGAACTTCGTGCATGAAGGATATTCTTTTCTTCTAAAGGCAATCAACTTGCAGAGCTTTGCAGCCACTCACTGCAGGTCAACGCTGCTGCATCGGATGGCACAGGAAGAAGCTTTAATGTGCTATACCAGTGGAAATCAACGAATGTCAGAACACTTCCGCCACCGAAGCATAATTCGCCGAACGATAACAGTACGCCTGTATGCTGTTTGCACTGTTAGCTCGGCCCTCATGCTCTGCTGATGCTGCACGGGCAGCAGTTCCGGTAGGAAACATGCCACCGGCTCCTGCAACCTTCGTTGAAACATGTTATAAAAGTTTCCAGGGTAAAAGCATTTTTTAACTTTTTCATGCGTTGTTCTCACTGTTACACAAGTGTTACACAATGCTGCCACGAGAAGGTGTGCAACAGGAGAAAAAGCTGGCATGAGCGGGATTTGGGGCCATTTTCCAACGGTAGGACTGCTTGTGGGACAAGGCCCTCACAAGCACATCTGCTGCAGGCCCAAGAGTCTGGGGCAACCACGACTGACTCGTGGGCCGTTTTCCAACCCTGAAACTCTTGCTGGGACTTTGGGGGTGCGGCCCGGAAATCACGTCTGCTGCTTTGACTTGGGGCGTCCGGCGTGAAGCGTCTCACTTTTTTAACACTTTTCTCATATTTTTTCCAGCGCTGACATTCAATTTTTTTTGCAGTTGCCTTCAACCTTCATACATATACATATTTACACTTCTGCACTCTGCACTCGCTCAACCGCTCCATTTATTCTTCGTTACTCGCGCATTACATTTTGCAGCCGTGGCTGTGGTCGGCCGTTGAACGTTCACACTTTGTTTGAAATTGTTTCGCACTTGGTTCGCACTACTATTGTACTTTTGGGACGTTTGATTTGCATCATCAAAATATTTCAGACTGTATACCAGACCTAGCAAAAAGGCTACCAAAACCACCCCTCGTGTTTTGAGTTTGGGCTGAGGCATCAAATTGTTGCAATGGGCAAATGGTGTCAACGCTTCGCGTTTCAGGGTTATATAGTTTGGTCGAGGCTTGAAATCTGATTTGGGCCTGCGCCGCTCGGCTCTCCTCGACTTGCGTCTGTGGTGCTCGAATGTTTACTTTCTACGACTAGAGACAATTTCGTCAGTTCGGGGCTTGGGACTTTGTTTGGCTTTGGCGGATGTTAGTACTCAGCACTCCCCACTGAGCCCAACCCCTTCTCACCCGACATCTGATCTGCCACACTCTGCAAAATATGTTCGCCCGCAAGACCTTTCACAGACGCCGACCCCAATAATCATGTTGTCGCGTGCTCCATGCAACGACTCCTGCTACTTCGCAAATGTCGGGTCGGTGTTGTGAAGGCTTGGATTGAGTGGTGACGGCTGATTAAGTTCCGTGTAGTTTGAGCATGCCCCAAACACTGGTGCACACAGCGTTCTGGGACTTTGATCACCGCGACCCCAAGATCTAAGATGCTTGACCTTGTGCAAGCCGGGAATTACTTCTGCAAACTGATTGGTGAGATGTTCTGACAGCGAACTTCCCACAGCAGAGTCGGCGAATGTTTGGGCAAACGTCCGCTCGAAATTTATGCTTACAACCGCGGCAAATCTAACAATAAAGAAATCCACTGTCCCAAGTGACGCCTCTCGAGGATAGTGCTCGACCTGATTACAAATTACGAGTTCCCTGTTCGAAAATGTATCGAAACACAGTTTCGAAAATTTCCGACCGCGTTTTAAAGAAGTCTCTTGTCACCTGGTCCTTAGCGCCACTACCAGCGGCATCCACAATCGTTATAATTCGGATGTGCCGTGACGTTCTGTTTGCCCATATTCCTGGCAACGGCCACAGCTCGGCGCAGAGACCGCTGCGAGCAGGACCGGAAGCGGTGCTGCAGCAGGAGGGCGTAAGGCGAACGATGAAACTTGATCAAGATCCGGCCCATGCGCCAATAAGGGAGCCCACTGGTGCACGTCCGGCCCATCGTGAAAGGGGCCTGAGAACCATCCTGCTGCCACCCAGCAAGAACGCATATTTTGCAGAGTCACCAAGATGGCCAAGACGAACCAGAATGTTTTGTTGGCCACAGGGAGACAGGACACGCGAGTCCAACGTAAAAGTCGCAGATTCGCGTGCATGTACTCATCTGTTTGCTTTCCTTCCTGAAGGTGGGCACTGGCTTCGCATTGCTCCTGTATATGTAAACGATTTAGATGATTTAGCCTCGGCATGTAGCCAAGCGAGAAATCCGCTAGCAGACCACATTGACTTGGCCACCTGGGTTGCGATCCAAAGCATATAAGTGTAGTTTAACCGCCAAACGAGCACGAGGTGGAAGCCGCCGGTTGGCCATGGCCTTCATGCTGCTGCAGGCCTGGACCACTGTCTAACCATTCGCCCGCTGAAGCGAAGGTCCGCATGGGTGATTATGTGCCGGGTTTTGCTGCTGCGGGCACAGGCTTGACAACCTCTACCCAAAAGTCACCTGAGATTTCAGGCTGCCGTGCTTTCGGTCCTGCATCTCCTGACGACGGCTTGCATCGATGAGCTATGTTTCCACCATCGGCGAGGATCCCGAGCTCCCACACAAGCGAGCACGAGTTCCATGCGAAGCAGCCAACTTCGCCGAAGCATGTGCTCTACTATATGTGCCGCATGTTTTCAAATCTGAGGATAAGGCAACGCTAGCAGTCGTCCGAGTCGTCCATGTTTCGAGGGCACGGTCGCGAAACGCAATCCCCGCTAACGGAGACTCAGCTTTTCTCAGGCTCCTTGTCGACTGTCCCAAGCCAACACCAGCCAGTTTGAGCCAAGTATGTCGCAGCAAGCCGATGGACAGCAAAAGCTAGAGGACAAACAAAAGCCGGCCGAACAATGCCGCATGCTATGTTCACGGAAACGACGATCTAAGACCACCCTGTCGCTTTCGGAATAGTGCTCGTTGGGGTCGGGATGATGTCTGGCGGGGAAGCAGGCGAACTTTAGACTGATTGATTTTTGTGACACCAACAGTGTCTGACAAAAGAGCACGCGATTCATGGTTCGGGCTGGCATTGACCTAGCGTGCACTGGGCGTGCACATGATAGAAGTGCATAGAACTTGCCGGGAATGGCTCGCCCTGTGTTCAATCGAGCCTCCGTAACAGCACTGCATGCACAAGCCATTTGGTATGCATGGTGTGATAAGCTGAGGAAACATGCTTCTGTATGGTTCTGATATGGCATAATGCTACACCACTACCTGCTAGAACATCGCAGTAGCCTGCGTATATGTGCCGACCGACTGAAACTAGGACTCGCCTACCATCGACAATCGCAACTTCTGTGGACCTACCCCAGCATACATCCCACACCCCCGCCCACCACCATCCGACCCTACGAACCCCATAACCTGAACACAGAAAAGCTCTTGCAACATCATAAACCCAGCGTCTACTAATGTCGTCGCTGCATTGGCAACAAGGCTTCCCAAGACGTGCAGCTTCCTGCAGAGCAACTGGCTGTTGAAAATTCGACACAGAATTGCCGATCCAACGATAAGTGCTGTAATGACAAAGGAACATGTCCTTCTGCAAATTCTCTGTGCTGCGGGGTCCTCCAGAGCTTTGTTGCGGGCTGCGGCGCGCTTTCCACCTTCGACCACCTCTGCACTGTCCGATTTGCTGGCGACGCAAGCCATGCAACACAACATGGTTCATGTTTGCGACCTCTTCACACATCTGTACGATAAGCTCCACTCAGCTTAACATATTATGTGCGTGGATAAAACTTGATGCTGGAAGGCACAATGCGGCGCACATGCGGACACCTGCTTCACACGTAAGCAAAAATCCGTCTACAAACTCGGGCCTTGAGACCGAGGCTATTGTAGTCGTTCAGGTCCCCTGCGTCCACGTACCAAACCGGCTCTACCCCAGCCCTCCTGGGATGTGACCAGGCAGATGCGCACACCGGTCACGTCAACACCACTGTCATTAGATAGCATGCATTTTCCAAGCTGTTGAATAAGTGCAAACTTGACATGCGATCGACTCGACATACATGCCGCCAAGATGCAAGAACTGCGCTTGAACCATCGCTATGTCCTCGAGGAACATTGAATATGTTTGTATATTTATGGAACGTAACGGAGACGTGAGTGAACTGTCTTATTCTGGCGACTGCAGTGTAATCTTGAGTGCTCCGACCGGCTTCAGCATCGACTTAAAGTTCTTAGCCCAGCAGGCCACATTCAGCATTCAGCACCCTTAGAATGCACACAGTTAATCTGAACGTCGCTCTGGTCTTAGGAGTCCTACAATACAAACCTGCACCATGACACCGAGCAAGAAAAACCGGAACACTGCGAGGACGGACGTCCTGCAAGCATTCATCAAACTTCGCGCGCCGCGCGGAGATGACTGCGAAGAAGATATCGTTTTTGTCGGGGATGGCCGCCTTCTCCTGCCAGCAGCTCGAACCATGCAGGCTCGCGCAGACGAGGACACACACCCACCCATGCAAACAATCGCAAGCACCCATGCAGGCACGCACACGTGTGTGCAACCCTACACAGGCCGCACTCCCGTCCTTGGTCGAAAGAAACTCGTGCAGCGATTCTATGCTGACAGCGTCAAGTTGGCATCGCAGAAGCCTTGCTTGCATCACAACTGACAACACCAGGTGGGTCTAGAGCCTAGGGACTGGGGTCTGGGGTTATTGACCTGCATTACGAATTGATCTTTGCGTGATGCTCTTTTCAATCATGTGGGAGCTGTTGCGCGCTTGTTTTGGCTTGCGCTGACCTGAACTGGAAAAGTAATTCTTCAGATCTGTTTCGGGAATGCTTACATCCTCGTGGTAATTTGAATATGTATATATATATATATGTATACATATGTATATATACATATATATATATATATTATAGCCTCGTCGGAAGCTGCCTTAACCTGAGCTGGAAAACCTAACTGTTCACCGGTAGCACACACTCCAAATATAGGTATGACGTTAAACGTTGCAGCTCTGAGCCACTATGCGGGATGTGGGACCAGTCATGCACAAGCACAGTCAAGCACATCCCTTGCTCTGATCCGACAATACCTCAAGTTGTAAATATTGCATGTTACTCACCCAGCACGACAAACTGATTCGAAGGTGTTTAATATACTCAGAGTCTGTATGCTGCTCGAGCCAGGATAGGAACAGCTGGGGGGCTCGAGGTGCACAGGCAGTTGCAGTGGGAGCGAGAGAGAGAGAGAGAGAGAGAGAGAGAGAGAAAGAGATATATACATATATATATATATATGCTATATATATATATATAATAGAGAGAGAAAGAGTGAGAGAGAGAGAGAGAGAAAGAGCGAGCGAGCGAGCGAGAAAGCGAGAAAGCGAAAGCAAGACAGAGAGACGGAGAGAGAGAGAGAGAGAGAGACTGAGAGAAAGAAAGAGAGAGAGAGAGAGACAGAGAGAGACAGAGATAGAAAGAAAGAGAGAGAGAGAGAGAAAGATAGACAGAGAGAGAGAGAGAAAGAAAGAGAGAGAGAGAGAGACAGATAGACAGAGAGAGAGAGAGAGAAAGAAAGAGAGAGAGAGAGAGAGAGAGAGAGACAGACAGAGAGAGAGAAAGAGAGAGAGAGAGGCAGACAGAGAGAGAAAGAGAGAAAGAAAGAGAGAGAGAGA